GGTTCTGGAAAAGATTGCCTAAGAGGACATACATTACCAAGGAGGAAAAAGCATTGCCCAGACACAAGCCTATGAAAGATAGGTTTACGCTTGTGCTGTGTTCAAATGCGAGTGGCGATTTGAAAATTAAACCCTTGCTTGTGTATCATTCTGAAAATCCAAGAGTTTTCAAACAGTATAAAGTGCAGAAAAACCAAATGTGTGTGATGTAGAGGGCTAATAATAAGGCATGGGTGACTAGGATTTTTTTTTTGGAGTGGGTGAATGAAGTGGTGTGCCCTGCCATAGAAAAATATCTCAGGAGAAACATTTGCCACTCAAGGCCCTGCTTCTCCTCGACAAAGCTCCTGCTCATACTCCAGGTTTGGAAGATGATTTTTTGCATAGATATAGTAAATTTCTCACAGTAAAGTTCCTTCCTCCTAACACCACTCCTCTAATTCACCCTATGGACCAGAAAATCATAGCGAATTTTAAGAAATTTTATGAAAGGGCACTTTTCCGGAAGTGTTTTGAAGTGACTGAAGCCATAAAACTCACCCTCAAAGAGTTCTGGAAACACAATTTTAACATGTGTAGTGCTTTAAAACTCATTGACAAAGCCTGGCAAGAAGTGACTCAAAGAACCCTGATCTCTGACTAGAGAAAATTGTGACCTGAATGTGACAGAACTAGACTTTGAGGGGTTTGAGCCTGTAAATGGTGTGCCTATTGTTGAGGAAATTGTTACTCTGGGTCGGCAAATGGGCTTGGAATTGGATGGTGATGATGTGGAGGAGTTGGTGGAAGAACACAACAAAGAACTGACCACCGAAGAACTCCAAGCCCTTCAAAAGAAACAGCAAGAAGACACAGCTGAGGATGTTTCTCCAGTGGAGGAGGATGAGGCAGCAGCGAATATCCTCCACATCTGACACAAAGTGGTGTCAGATGTGGGAAGAAATGCAAACTTTTATTTAAACGACTCACACAAAGAAAGCTGTAGTAGGGCATTGCATTAATCTTTTCAATGACATTGTGATGCCTCACTACAGAAACATCTTGTAAAACCAAAACACCTGTTTTGGTTTTACAGACCCGGACTTGGGGGCGTTTGGTCACTTCGACCTTGGTTCAGTTCGAGCTCGTAAGTCCTGTCCCTGTTGGTGTGGTTCGCCCTGCTCTACCCCCCACCCCCCTTCCTCAACCCTGCTGCCTGCTCTGAAACGTCTGAGGGTTTTGGAATTGGGGTGGGGTTTAGTTGGGGATGAGACTCGGGTGGCTCCCGCATGCTGGGAGCATACTGCGGTATTACAGGTTTACCTGGGGGAGGGGGGCTTTTGAGCACCTCAGTGCATGCCTTTACACCCCTATGCTTCCTCGTGAGATTGGCTTGCTTCAGTTGCACGCCCAAGTTCCTTTCCTTTCTGCTGCCTTGGTGGCTCAGTCTTTGGGCTTGGTCCTGCGCTTCTTTTCCCTCCTTGAGCTGTCCTCAGACTGGCTTGTGAAGGATGTGAAGGCACTGAGTGCAGGGCCAACGTCTGGGCCATTGGCTTTGGCTGCTAGGGTGGCATTGCTGAAACTGTATGCGCCTATCCAGTAGGTGGGGTGTCTGTTTTTCTGCTTCTTGACTTGTGTGTCGGCAGGCTGTCCTCACTCTCTATTGATTCGGCTTGGGCCCTGGCTCTTAAGTTTTCTTCTCTTCTCTGTACGTTATTACTGTATTGGCAGACTTGGTTGTTTCTCAGTTTTTGCAGGCGACTTCTACTAGTTACAATCCTCTTTCTGATTTGGTGGTGATCCGGGGTAGGCATTCTCGTGCTTGCCAGAAAGATCGTGCCAGGGTTCAGGTCTCTGCAGGTCGAGGTGGGTCCTTGGTGCTAGCTTCTGTGCCGAAGCCTCATCTGGAGCTGTCTTTGTCTAGTCTGTGTGGTGCTCGCCCTGCTTGTAAGTCGGCTTCTTGGAAGGGGCGCCGACCCCTTCGCAGGTTGCCCCATTGACAGGGTGATGGGGGAGGGGGGGGCTGGCTCTGTTTGCCCATGCTTGGTCTCACGATTCGTGGGCATTTCAGGTCATGTCTTCCAGCATGTGGTGGCATAGGGAGGCTCCTCCTCTCGGAGGATTGGGGCAGGTTTCTTCCCCCTTGCTCCATCAGGTCATCCTGGAGTGGGTGCGATTGGACGTGTTCGAGACGATTTCATCCCTCAAGTGGGTTTCTCGCTTGTTTCCAGTGCCGTAACGGGACTATGCGAATCTTCGATTCATTCTGGAATTGTCCTGTCTGAACCGCTGGATTCCTTGCTCCTCCTTTTGGATGACCACTCTGTCCTAGGTCCGGCTTCTTTTGGAACCGGGGTCGTGGTTGGTGTGTGTGGATTTCCGGGACGCTTATTGGCACATTTCCATTCATCCGGGGTTCAGGGACTGGTCAGGTATTGTGGTAGGGTGGCAGGCTTACCACTTTCATTGCCTTCCCCTTGGGCTGAATCTGGCACCTCGCATTTTCACACATCTTACCCGGGTCATGGTGGCTCATCTTTGTCTGCTAGGTGTTAGGGTTTTGGCCTACCTCGATGACTGGTTGGTGTGGGCTCCCAGCCAGTCCGCTTGTCTGTTCACCAGGAGTTTGGGTCTTTCCTGGCTCGCTGAGTTTGGGTTCCTGGTGAACTGGAGGAAGTCCCATTTAGTTCTGTCTCAGGGTCGGACTTGGCTCCGTCTTGCCTGTGAATCCCGGACAGCATCCCAGCATTCTTTTCTCTCCCTCCTGCGTCATTGTTTGCCCATGCAATCCCGCCTTCGGCTGTTCCTGAGGAGGTCCTGGGTCACTCGGTGGTTGCTCAAGCAGCTGTGCGGGAGTTTGAACTTCACCGTGCTGGTTTACTCGCTGGGTCGGGTTTGCCTTTGGCATCTGTTCTGGTTCCTTCAAGGCCGTCCCTTCCGCTACTCATGCGATTGCTGGGTTCGTCCACCAGGTGCCTTGGTTGTTGCAACCAGCCAACTTCCTCTTCAGGTTTTTCTATACCTTTTCTTCAGGTATAGAGCTAATAGTCCAGGGCGTGAGGATGGTATAGAGCTAATTGTCCAGGGCGTGAGGATGGTATAGAGCTAATTGTCCAGGGCGTGAGGATGGTATAGAGCTAATTGTCCAGGGCGTGAGGATGGTATAGAGCTAATTGTCCAGGGCGTGAGGATGGTATAGAGCTAATTGTCCAGGGTGTGAGGATGGTATAGAGCTAATTGTCCAGGGTGTGAGGATGGTATAGAGCTAATTGTCCAGGGTGTGAGGATGGTATAGAGCTAATTGTCCAGGGCGTGAGGATGGTATAGAGCTAATAGTCCAGGGCGTGAGGATGGTATAGAGCTAATTGTCCAGGGCGTGAGGATGGTATAGAGCTAATTGTCCAGGGCGTGAGGATGGTATAGAGCTAATTGTCCAGGGTGTGAGGATGGTATAGAGCTAATTGTCCAGGGTGTGAGGATGGTATAGAGCTAATAGTCCAGGGTGTGAGGATGGTATAGAGCTAATTGTCCAGGGTGTGAGGATGGTATAGAGCTAATTGTCCAGGGTGTGAGGATGGTATAGAGCTAATTGTCCAGGGTGTGAGGATGGTATAGAGCTAATAGTCCAGGGTGTGAGGATGGTATAGAGCTAATTGTCCAGGGTGTGAGGATGGTATAGAGCTAATAGTCCAGGGCGTGAGGATGGTATAGAGCTAATAGTCCAGGGCGTGAGGATGGTATAGAGCTAATAGTCCAGGGTGTGAGGATGGTATAGAGCTAATTGTCCAGGGTGTGAGGATGGTATAGAGCTAATAGTCCAGGGTGTGAGGATGGTATAGAGCTAATTGTCCAGGGTGTGAGGATGGTATAGAGCTAATAGTCCAGGGTGTGAGGATGGTATAGAGCTAATAGTCCAGGGCGTGAGGATGGTATAGAGCTAATAGTCCAGGGCGTGAGGATGGTATAGAGCTAATAGTCCAGGGCGTGAGGATGGTATAGAGCTAATAGTCCAGGGTGTGAGGATGGTATAGAGCTAATTGTCCAGGGTGTGAGGATGGTATAGAGCTAATTGTCCAGGGTGTGAGGATGGTATAGAGCTAATAGTCCAGGGCGTGAGGATGGTATAGAGCTAATTGTCCAGGGTGTGAGGATGGTATAGAGCTAATAGTCCAGGGCGTGAGGATGGTATAGAACTAATTGTCCAGGGTGTGAGGATGGTATAGAGCTAATAGTCCAGGGCGTGAGGATGGTATAGAACTAATTGTCCAGGGTGTGAGGATGGTATAGAGCTAATAGTCCAGGGCGTGAGGATGGTATAGAGCTAATTGTCCAGGGTGTGAGGATGGTATAGAGCTAATAGTCCAGGGCGTGAGGATGGTATAGAACTAATTGTCCAGGGTGTGAGGATGGTATAGAGCTAATAGTCCAGGGCGTGAGGATGGTATAGAACTAATTGTCCAGGGTGTGAGGATGGTATAGAGCTAATAGTCCAGGGCGTGAGGATGGTATAGAGCTAATTGTCCAGGGTGTGAGGATGGTATAGAGCTAATAGTCCAGGGCGTGAGGATGGTATAGAACTAATTGTCCAGGGTGTGAGGATGGTATAGAGCTAATAGTCCAGGGCGTGAGGATGGTATAGAACTAATTGTCCAGGGTGTGAGGATGGTATAGAGCTAATAGTCCAGGGCGTGAGGATGGTATAGAGCTAATTGTCCAGGGTGTGAGGATGGTATAGAGCTAATAGTCCAGGGCGTGAGGATGGTATAGAGCTAATTGTCCAGGGTGTGAGGATGGTATAGAGCTAATAGTCCAGGGTGTGAGGATGGTATAGAGCTAATAGTCCAGGGCGTGAGGATGGTATAGAGATAATTGTCCAGGGTGTGAGGATGGTATAGAGCTAATAGTCCAGGGCGTGAGGATGGTATAGAGATAATTGTCCAGGGCGTGAGGATGGTATAGAACTTGACGGCTGGTTTGCCTTTAATTACAATACTTGTACAGTTCCATTATAATTGCCTCAGGGTTCCTCAGTGCTGAGGATGCTGGAGAATTTCATGGGAGAGCCGGCCTTCCAAAAAGGTATTAACTCGTTCCTCAAGAAATATTGTTATGGGAATGCAGTAACACAAGATCTGTGGAAGGAGCTCACTTGTGCCTGGACGGGTTGTGTTCCTCATAACTGCAAGGTTTGACCTTTTTACTATTGCCATTTTTGTCAGCTTTGTCAAGTGTTCTATTAAAATCACAATCTGTTAAATGAACACTACTCTATTTTTTATACTTGTCTTGAAACTGTTTTCAAAGGGTTAATGTTTTTTAAACAATATTATGTACAATATATATACATGAACTATATATTATTTGCATTTCATATCTAATGGATATTATTTCCAGAAAACAAGTGTAAATTTTTTTTTTTAATTATTTTCGCCTGTAGAATGACGTAGGAGAAATAATGGACACGTGGACGCGGCAGATGGGATACCCTGTAGTGAATGTGGTCCGCACATCATGTGAAGAGGTCACCCTCACACAGAAAAGATTCCTCCAAGACCCTGCAGCACAATATGAGTAAGGCGATGTTCAAGAAATTCAATAGGCATTCCAGTAGAGAAATGTGTTTGGTGGTTTGATATATATTGGTCGTTTTTGTACAGTTCTTTCTGAACTGCTCACTTTGATCCCCGAGTGCTTCCCTTACCTGTTTGAGAAGGCCAGATATTGGTCCAGGCTCTCAGAGTGTGTAGTCTCAGAGGCCGATATTTGGGGGACAGCTCTCTTGTATGAGTGCCATAAACTCCATCCGGTGTATTAACCGGATGCCATAAACGTGGGAGCCGGTCGGCTGAGCGGACAGCACACTGGACATGTGATCCTGTGGTCCCGGGTTCGATCCCGGGTGCCGGCGAGAAATAATGGGCAGAGTTTCTTTCACCCTATGCCCCTGTTACCTAGCAGTAAAATAGGTACCTGGGAGTTAGTCAGCTGTCACGGGCTGCTTCCTGGGGGTGGAGGCCTGGTCGAGGACCGGGCCGCAGGGACACTAAAGCCCCGAAATCATCTGAAGATAACCTCAAGAAATCCTTGCTACTACTGAGGTGCCATTGAGAAATTTGTGTTTTATTACACTGCACAATGTATCATATCTTTAGAATACAACACCCTTGTTATTTAGGTTAATTTATGCTTGTTGTATGTTAGTGTTGATAAGGTCAATGTATCATATCTTTAGAATACAACATCCTTGTTATTTAGGTTAATTTATGCTTGTTGTATGTTAGTGTTGATAAGGTCAATGTATCATATCTTTAGAATACAACACCCTTGTTATTTAGGTTAATTTATGCTTGTTGTATGTTAGTGTTGATAAGGTCAATGTATCATATCTTTAGAATACAACATCCTTGTTATTTAGGTTAATTTATGCTTGTTGTATGTTAGTGTTGATAAGGTCAATGTATCATATCTTTAGAATACAACACCCTTGTTATTTAGGTTAATTTATGCTTGTTGTATGTTAGTGTTGATAAGGTCAATGTATCATATCTTTAGAATACAACACCCTTGTTATTTAGGTTAATTTATGCTTGTTGTATGTTAGTGTTGATAAGGTCAATGTATCATATCTTTAGAATACAACACCCTTGTTATTTAGGTTAATTTATGCTTGTTGTATGTTAGTGTTGATAAGGTCAATGTATCATATCTTTAGAATACAACACCCTTGTTATTTAGGTTAATTTATGCTTGTTGTATGTTAGTGTTGATAAGGTCAATGTATCATATCTTTAGAATACAACACCCTTGTTATTTAGGTTAGTTTATGCTTGTTGTATGTTAGTGTTGATAAGGTCAATGTATCATATCTTTAGAATACAACACCCTTGTTATTTAGGTTAATTTATGCTTGTTGTATGTTAGTGTTGATAAGGTCAATGTATCATATCTTTAGAATACAACATCCTTGTTATTTAGGTTAGTTTATGCTTGTTGTATGTTAGTGTTGATAAGGTCAATGTATCATATCTTTAGAATACAACACCCTTGTTATTTAGGTTAGTTTATGCTTGTTGTATGTTAGTGTTGATAAGGTCAATGTATCATATCTTTAGAATACAACACCCTTGTTATTTAGGTTAATTTATGCTTGTTGTATGTTAGTGTTGATAAGGTCAATGTATCATATCTTTAGAATACAACATCCTTGTTATTTAGGTTAGTTTATGCTTGTTGTATGTTAGTGTTGATAAGGTCAATGTATCATATCTTTAGAATACAACACCCTTGTTATTTAGGTTAGTTTATGCTTGTTGTATGTTAGTGTTGATAAGGTCAATGTATCATATCTTTAGAATACAACATCCTTGTTATTTAGGTTAGTTTATGCTTGTTGTATGTTAGTGTTGATAAGGTCAATGTATCATATCTTTAGAATACAACACCCTTGTTATTTAGGTTAATTTATGCTTGTTGTATGTTAGTGTTGATAAGGTCAATGTATCATATCTTTAGAATACAACACCCTTGTTATTTAGGTTAATTTATGCTTGTTGTATGTTAGTGTTGATAAGGTCAATGTATCATATCTTTAGAATACAACACCATTGTTATTTAGGTTAATTTATGCTTGTTGTATGTTAGTGTTGATAAGGTGGGTTTCTTACCTTGAGGTTACCTTCAGGTAGTTTTGAGGATTAATGTTCTTGAGACCCAGTCTCTGACCAGGCCTCCGTGTTAGTGGTCTGGTCAACCAGGCTGTCAGATGCTGCTGCTTGCAGCCTACTGTATGAATCATTGCCTGGTTGATCGGGTATCATTCAGAGGTGTTTATGATGTTTCCCAGAAATAATTATTTGCATATGGTCATGAAAGCCAATTTCTTATAAAAACAAATCGCCATTAAATGTAATAATATGCCTCTTACTGGATGGGCCTCAGGGGTTCTCTGTAGCTAGCGGCACTGAGATAGCTCCACACTATAAGCCACATCAGCCCTAAGAGCCCTTAATTGCCTTAATTGGACCACACGCCAAACACACAGCGAAACTACGACGTTGGTACAACATTCGAACAAGTTTTAACACCTCCTAACCAGTTATAACAACCAATATAGCAAGTTGTAACAATGTTCTAATACGTCATAAACACGTTAAGCCAAAATGTAACAACTTTATTACAAGTTGTAACAAGCGGAAAATAGAGACAGTTTCAGTTTGTGTTTCCAGGGCAGAGACCAAAACCTGGCCCCCCCCCCTTCTCTCACAGAGGTGTAGGGAACAAGAGCTATTGATGATGACCTTCATTGAAGAAACACTGAAAGGAAGCATAGAAATATAGACAACTGCAAGGTACACATAGAAAAAGAACCAAAGCAGCAAAAAGACTCCACAAATGATCAATTAGGTTCAACCCAATCACAGTTACAGCTGGATCCTGCCAGGCGACGTCACCACCGGGAGCTGCCGGCTCCCCATATCAACAATCCTCAGTCCTTCGCCTGATGTACAGTACAACTGTTAGGACTGCTCCTTGAGTTACCAGTCTTTTGGCTTCCAACTATTTACTAAATAAATGTTGGCCATCTTTGAAGTCTTTCCTGTGGGGGGCCCATTTGTTTGTGTATCATTTCAATATTTTAGTGTTGGCTTCACATGCATGTGTTTCCAAGCTTCACTTGTTGTGTGGACTTTGGTAACTGTTCTCCTCAAGCTGCATGTACCCACGACAGCCCCTTACTTAGGTACTAATTCAGTGTTTCCCCTTCCCTGGTGAGTTCCAGAGTTTGTCCCATAGTGGCTGGCCTATTGTGTAGGTGCCTCACCCAGAGTAGTGTGACGGTCATTGACTCCTCTGCGAGGCTCTGAGGTTGGGGGCATTTGGGGGTTTATTAATGAAGGATGCATTAAAGTTCACATGTTTGTTTAAATAACGCACGACTTAAGTCCTTTATGGTTGAGTTTATCCTCACGGCTGTGTTCAGTGTCAGTTGTTCCTTCGAGCGTGCCTAGTGCCTGGGTGTCTTGCTTGGTCCTTACCTTCAGGCCTTGGCAAGCCCCACTAGTCTTTGGTGTGGCTCATCATGGATTGACCCACTGAGCCTGCCCACACTGCTTCTGAGTTTGAGGGATGTCCATCAGTTTTGCTAAAAGTGATGGTCATTTGTACTACTGTATCTCCAACTGCCACCAGTTAGCTGGGTATTATCATCTACCCTGAGGCTTGTAACATCTGGATTCCTTTAGGTTTCTATTTTTAGCTAAATCCTCCATCTTTTGGTTTTGTATATTTAATTTTTGTTATGATATGGCTCCACAAGTAGCAATCACTTTAGGTTCATTTGCTCATTTTTTTATTTTGTGGCTCGGTGTTCATGTGGTTGCCCCAGAATGAGCCCTTCTAGGCTTAATATGATGTAATGTAATGTTAATTAGATTTAAAATTGGAGCAGATGGTGTTTCTACTGATGCTTTGTTTGATGCTTCTTCTCCTTCCCCTGTTCATCTCACATGGCTCATCGGACTCTGTGTACCCCCTCCCCTTGCTCTGGGCTCTGGCACGTCAGGGGATTTTGGAGTCCAGGCTACAATTAGCTGTGAATGTAGCTTGGCCGTCTCCAGAGATTCTCCCTTTCATATTGATGCTGGAGACAGTTGAGTCATTACTTCCCACCAGAGATACACAGCTGTGTCTTTTTCTGATGGTGGTACAGTATTTGACTTCGATTGTTTTAAGAGTTTGGGGATGTCTTCCTATCTGTTGACCAAACCACACATTAGAAAGCGAAGGGTCGACGACGTTTCAGTCCGTCCAGGACTATTTTCAAGTCGATTGGACCATTCTCAAGTCGATTCTTCCTATCTGTTCAGGTGCCAGACATAGAACTGGGCTCTGTCTTAGGGTCTTCATTTTTGGCTTCCAGGGATGGGGAGGAGCCCACAGGTTCCCTTCAACCTACACTGATATCGGGGTTCCCTCTGAGAGTTTTTAAAGTTCAGGTGGAGATATTCCTTATCCTCTGTCAATGTTTGAGCTTAATTCCTTGGCTGTTCCTCCCAAAGTTTACTTCAGTGTACTATTAGTATCCTTGGATGTGTTATATTTCAGGAGGAGTCTGTAATCCCGCATTGCGCCTCCTTGGCATCGGTTAGTCTTTATTTTTGGTTATTCCTGTGAGTTCAGAATTTCACTTCTCCTCATGGAACCGACCTCTTTTGTGTTCGGGTCAGCTTTGACCATGTTGTTGCATCACAAGATTCCTGTTTCTTCTTGTCTTGCAGACAATCCACTGTTTCTTTGTGGGTTTGGTACAGCTTATACCGTATCTTAGTGGTTGAGTAGCAAGTGAGGAGGTGGGGGGGGGGGGGGCTGTCCTTCAGGTTTACTTGAGTGGTGCCTCTTTGATGCTGCTGAAGTCTTGTTCATTTACTCCAGTCCTACCTTGAGATGTTGGTGTGTGGCTGCACTGCCTGCTGTTGCTGTTACTTTCTGCAGCCCAGGCTGTGGCGATCAGGGAGTCCATGTTCATTTGGCATCTGTTTATCATTACTGGGTTGTTGGTTAGGCTGTTTTCCGGCCACTTCTGGGGTAGCCTGGAGATTTTGGCTATGGTGCTGGATATCACAGCCTTGTTGCCTGCAGTTTCAGCAGCTTTGCCCAAGTTGCTGTCTTTTCTCTTTTGGGAGATGATGGCCGTCTCTTCCTCACTTGTCTTGCATTTTGGCATGTTATGTTTACCCAAGCTTTCAGTTTGGTTTGATCTCTTACCCTTCAGTCCACATTTCTTCTAACTACCAACCTAACTACTGGGTTGATCATTTGCAGTCTTTTGCCTGGTTCATTTCTTTTTCTCTGAACCTTGCATTTGTCCATTTTGATTCGCTTTGCTGCCTTTCTGTGTGTTTCTTGAGAGAAGGTGATTGTAAGTATTCCCTGCTCCCTGCATCACTGTGAAAAGGGGGGGGCTAGGTTTTTGCTCCTGGTAGTAAACTCAAGATTCTTAGGGGGTGATGTGACTCATGTGTGGAGCCATCTCGGTGTGGCTAGGTGCAAGAAGGCCCCATTTGGCCCCTACAACAACATATATTTATATATATATATGAATGTATGTTATTTACATGTCTTAACAGCCCATCAGAGTCCGAGTTTGGTTACAAGTGGGACATCCCAATCAGTTACATCACATCCTTAGACGTCAGGGCACAGCAGGCGTGGCTCTACCGAGAAGCTGATAACTGTAAGTTAAAATCGTACTCCACTGAAGTGCAATTTTTTTTTCAACTAAAACTAGGGTTCATTAGGGCTATCAGTAGAAGTACCTAGTGAAACTACAAGCAAGAGCTGTAATCCTACCTCAGTTCAGTTGAAACCTGCTCCTAGAGACCCATATATTTCATGAGTTATTATATTCATCATTAGAAATAAACTTTATTAAATTCTAAGTAACAATCATATAAGGAACAGGATGAGCCTATAGCCAACTGTATGCCAGACTCTTAATGTGATCAGTTGACCTGATCTCCCGTGTATCAACCTGTTGAGTGAACAAGTTCCAGATGCGAGTCAGCCTAGGAGTGAATCCACCATCGGTAGAACGGTGTTGAAGGCTCTGGTATTCAGACCATTTCCACCAGACTTGGTCAAGACTAGAGATGAGCCTTTTTGCACGACTCATCACTTTGTTCAAATGTCTGATTAATGATGGAGGGCAGGCAATCCAGTAGAGGGGTGCACACTATAGATGGGAGCAATGCACTTCTTGGTGTCGCATAGTTACTCTTTATACCATATACTGTATAGTGTTTGTATAGACTTTTGTGTGGGGAAGCCCCTTCGACTCCATGGAGCTATCGGGCTAATGTGTGATATATTAGACTGGGGCATTAGTCTATGGAGTTCGACCTACCGGGGACCACGAGCCAGAACTTGGCCCCCTCAGAGAGGTGCAGGGAGCAATAATCCTGGAAAACCCTCCTGTGGTTGGGGTTTTCCTTATCTGCCATCGACTGGGGATAGGCACCCAGAAAGGTAGGCATAACAAAACAAACCCCCCACATGGTAAGAAAATTACAACTAAAACCAAAAAGAAAGGCAGAACTCCGTCCAATCCTAAGGAAACAAGCAAACATCACATTCCACTGCCATGCCACTTGTCTGCACAGTCCTCCCCTCCCTGGGAGGGTGAAGCCCCCAGACCTCCCTGTGTCAGCTACCCAGCACTCCTGTTCGTTCCCTAATGTGGTACAGGGCGGACGTCTTCTCTGGTCTCGATTTCCAAGGCGGTGTTTTTCCTTCGTGACAACCTCTGTAGTGTTCTTGTGTGTGGTGGCCAAGTGTTCCTCATTAGTGCCAGGGCTGCATGCACTTAGGGGCTTCCTTCCCTAGGCACTATGAGTACTGCCCTTGCGTGTTAGGATTCCCTTTCCTGGTGCATTCGGGAAACCATTTCCGTATGGGTTTTGATGCTCAGCATTTGCCCCCGCACTTAGGGCCAGCTGGGGTTTCGTGGCCCTTGTTTGGTCTTGGGTAGGGAGTGGTATCATGCTGGTTGGGGCATCAAGATGTTGTGCAGCCTGCCTATCTACGCGGCGGCTGGTTCCTGTTTCCTCTGGGGACGTTATACTATTGTGGGGGTTTTCTTTTGTTTATGTTTTCGTGCCTGGTAGGGGTCTGCCTGGTGTAGCTATCGTTCCACTTATAATAATTTGGTGGCCCTCTGCTAGGCCCCCGTGATTGTACATGTCGCAAGGGTTTCAGTGTTTTGATCTACTCCTTGTTAGCTTTGGGTCTTAAACTGGTGAGCAACACCTTGCCCCGGCTTCCCGTAGCAGTCAGCCTATGGGCCTTGGAAAACCCTGTCAAGGCTTGGTGGACTTATGGATGCGTCTTCAAAGTTAGAGCCTGCCTCATGTGGGTTCGAAAGTAGCTGTGTGCCTTTGTCTCGACTTTGCGTTGGGGAGTGTTTGGTGGCCGCCTTTTGAGTAAGTCCCTCTTTTCCCTTCTCTTTGGTTATGTAGCTCCATGGAGCTAAAAAGGCTCCCCACAGAAAACATTGAATGTAATGAAACGCCATTTTTTGGGTGAGCCCCGGAGGCTCCCTAGCAACCCTCCCTCCCTCCGGTCGCCATTTTTTTGCGAAGTTGATGCTTAGCTTCTGAACTGGAGTGCTGGGTAGCCGGCACGGGAAGGAAAAGGCTACACAGACAAGCAGTGCGGCAGTGGAGTGGAGAAACAAGCAAACGTTTGCTCGTTTCTTTGGGATTGGAGGGAGTTCTGCCTCTCTTTTCAGTTTTTAGTTGTAATTTTCTTACCATGTGGGGTTTTGTTATGTCTGCCTTTCTTGGTGCCTAACCCTGATTGATGGCAGATAAGGAAAACCACCAACCACAAGGGTTTTTTTCATGGCCATTGCTCCCTACAACCTCTCTGAGGAGGCCAGGTTCTGGCTCGTGGTCCCCGGTAGGTCGAACTCCATAGACTAATGATCTGGTCTAATATAGGGAGACCAGGTCATTAGTCATTAATATAGCTCCAGGGAGCCTCCGCGGGTCACCTATAAAAATGGCGTTTCATTACATTCAATGCTGGGTTTTTTCCCTACAATTTTTCCCCCTCCCTCTCCTTTCAGGTTCAGGTTTCACTCTTCCTCTTCCCCATCCGTCATTCTCAGCCATCCCCATGTGTCCAACGTATTGTCTTAAAAGCCTTTTATTTTTCGTGTGTACAGTTTTATGTTATTTAAGGAAGAGAAGAGCACAGCTGTATGACCAGATTATTAAAAGCTATTTTAAATTTCAGTGAAGTTGAAAATAGATCCAGAAGTACTTTGGGTGAAGGTAAATACGCAGCAGAAGGGTTACTACCGTGTTAACTATGAAACTCACATGTGGAATGAGCTGGCAAAGCTTTGTCTTGATAAGGTGAGTACAAAAGAAATATTGTTGCTTTCCAGAACAACAACATTACAAGCTTTATATAAGGACTTCACATATCAGATTATAAATTGGATAAGTTTAGATATATACAATAGTTGTTACACTCTTGTAAAGCCACTAGTACGCATAGCGTTTCTGGCAGGTTCTTAATCTTAATTTTCCCCGGAATACGACCCACCAAATCGTTTAGCAACCAGGTACCCATTCACTGCTAGGTGAACAGAGGCTACAGTTAAGGATTGGTGCCCAGTCAATCCTCCAAGACCAGGATACGAACCCAGGTCAAATCGTTTGCAAAGTGCCAGGCGAGTGTTTTACCACTGTGCCACGAGGACTGCACTCTGGTTTGGAGTGTTGTTAGATTCAATAAAGACAAGAGTAAATTCTGGTTTGGAAACAAATTACTGAGTGACATGGATTGCTGGGTTATTTCAGGCATTGAATACAGTGTGTGTGTATGTATGTATGTATGTATATATGTGTGTGTGTGTGTATATATATATAATTTTTTTATATATATAAAAAGTGATTTTGTCCAGGTATAAATAAGAAATAAGAGCTGTCACGAATGGGTCAGTAAGTGTTCTTCCCTTATCTACTGGCCATGATGAGGACATGAAGCTTGGCATTTTGTCAAAGGTTCTGTCACCTTTTCCTGATAATTTTGATCAACTGTATTTTGAATTACAGTAACAAATTGCTATTTATGGCTCCTGAAGGTTGGTGGTTCCATGGGTTAATAACCCTGTGGGTGAAACAGCATCTCCTGTTTTCTGTCCTACATTGTGGCTTGTTGACCTTGACACTGTAGCTCCTTGTTTGTGTTGCATCTGACCTTTTAAAGAAGTTGTCCAGAATAATATCCTCCAATTTGTTCAGTATTATAAAGGTTTGTATGAGATCTGTCTAGTGATGTCTGGTTTGGAGTGTTGTTAGTCCTGTGAAAGATCATCAAAGCAAATGGGGGGACCTTCGATAAGCCGCGGGCTTCCTGTCCTCGTCGAGACCATTAGGGTTAGTGGCCCTTAGGTAAACAAGGTAAAAATTAGCAGCAGGGTTGGAAAGAAAAAACACAAGATGTTGGATAAAAGAGCAAGTACAGGGGCAGCACCGGGGAGCATTCAGGAAAGTATCCCTGAATGCTTGCAGCTCCTGGCACGAAACTAGCCAAGTTCACATAAGCTACAGTAGTAAACAAAAATGCTTGTGAAGAAAATACCAAAATAGGAACAATAAGCAAGCAAATGACTCCACAGGACAAATTCCAAGGATCACCGATACTTGGCTTGGAAGCAGTGGACCTGCATGACCTAGTTGGTGACCCAGGAACACTACAGTGGACAACTGGAGGTGACCACATTGGTGACAGTACTGACTTGGTAGTGCTGGGGCTCTGACCCCCCCCCTCCCCACCTACCAGTTGTGGTGGTTTGGTATTAAAAAGTTCAAGCTAGTTTTGAGACATTTATTCATTTGTTTACATTAAGGGTTCATTTCCCAAATTTCAGTTCGTTTAAGGCCAACAGTATAATTAACCAGAGCTGGTGTGAACACACTGCTGGACCTGGCCAAGATCTTGTACCTGTATGTTGACTACATTTCAAGTATTTCCCCAAAACTGTGTTCTAACTCTTGGCTGTCTACATGTGTTATTATTTTAAAGGTTTTAGGTATTCTAGAATTATTTAAAATTGTCTACTTTTGCTTTATATTGATAGATACCATACCATATTTGCCAGCAGATATGAAGCATGATTTGGACCACCTTCAACCAAATATAGATTGTATTTACATATAGAAAAATTATGCAGTTTTTCCTGCAGAACCACATGAAAATCAATTTCAATAATTGTATGATAAAAATATGTAAAATAGGAGCATCTTGTACTAGCAAATCCAATAACTAATGTACTTTATAGATTAAGAGGTATTTTGCTAAAGGCTTCTCTTTTCTGCATTTTTACTTTTCAGTACATAAATTCAGATCACTCTATGTATTCCTCACTTTGATGTTAAATATTTACTAAGTGAAAACACATACAGAGCAGTGATTCTCAAACTTTTTCTGTGCCCTACTTTCAGAATATAAGTTTGCTCGTGCCACACCAAATTTATTGATAAATACTTTCAGTTACAAAACAAACTCCTTTTAGTGCTTGATTCATAACAAAGATTAAAATTACCTTATAATAGGATAATGGGACATGCAGAAAATATAAAACAAATGCAGCAACATAAAACATGATTCATTCCCAAAATATATTTACCTGTATAGAGAAGCCTCCTACTTGTGTAACCTCAAGTAAGTATACAAACTCGAAGGAGAGGAGTGAGCTTGTTTTTGTTGGGTAATCTCATTTATATTAGGCAAATAAAATAAAATAAAACAAACCCTCGTTTCATCAACACACACAAGCCTTTTTTTTTTTTGGGTCTTCAATATTTGTCAGAGCTGAAAATCGTTGCTCAGAACAGTCTTAAATTGTCCTTGAATCTTCCTGCCACATTTGTCATCCTCTTCCACCACAGTCTTTGGGAACCATTGATATACAGTATTGTTTTGAACCATTATACTCATTTGTTAAAAAAAAAGTATTTGATATTTATGATACCTAAATATATGTTTGAGTATATCTGCTCTTTGCAGGTTGTGGGCACTGCAGAACGAGCCGGTCTATACAATGACATCTTTGCTCTCGCTGATGCTGCCTTGGTGGATTATTCTGTAGCACTCGACTTCAGTCGAGGTCTTGCGTCAGAGACAGATTATGTACCTTGGGATTCAGTTATTAACCATCTCATTACCATGGAGAGATTACTAGCAGAGACTGATGTCTATCAGCCATTTTGTGTAAAGTATCATTTTTTATTTAGAATTTCTAAGTACAGAAAATGTATAAATTTCTTCCTAATTTCTGTAGTTTTCTGAAGGGCCCAAAACTGCACCTATAGTTCCACACCTTTAAGTCACATGAGCCTTTGTAAGTCCTTAACACTTTAACATTCCGAGTTGTTGGAGCATACATTATCTTAACCCTTAAACTGTGGTTATTGCTATACATTGATTCACAGGCTAATGTGATTATCATCATACATTGATTTAAACTAATATTGTCTGGGTTTTACAATGATAATGCCAATATGGAAATAATAGCTACATGGATGTAGTGGAGTTTACCTTTACACAAACAAATCCTGGTATCATTTCCCGATTACCTTACTATGCAGTTAGCGTCACAAATATCACTACACCAATAAGGTAGTTGTCATTGTTTAAAATTCCATTATAATTACATGACATGTGTAATGATTATGTTAATATGGTTTTCACAGCTTCAGGGAGCCTCCAGGGCTCACCCAGGAATTGGCGTTTTACTACATTCAACGTTGCTTTTTTTTTATTGCACACTGTGGGGATGTCGGTTATAATAGGACAAAGCCCAGGGGTTAATCGGTCTCAATAATTTAGATGTTTTATTGAGTGGATTCTAGTAGTAAAGGATCTCTGCATGCTCTGCAGGTCAGCAATTTCTCCAGTTTTGAATAAGGTACTTTCTCCACATTCTAGCACCCTTTACATCCCAGGAGACGAGTATAATGTATGCTTAACCCTGTAGTACTAGTGGGCCTTGGTACTTTCACCACACTCTAGCACCCTTTACATCCCCAGGAGACGAGTACTTTTTCAATTGCTTAGTGGAGAGCATTTGTCCAGTCCACTCTGAGGCAAGAACCTCTCAAAGAAATGCTAAGGTAGCACAAGACACACACTTATATCTGCATGTCTGTGAAACGTTAGTCAGATAAAGTCAGATATAAGAAAGGCTGTAAAATAATATGGAAGACAGAACAGAAGTATGAGCATAAACCTTGTATCAGTAGAAGTGGCAGGCAAGAGAGCAAAGTGGGCACTTTTACGGGATGAGGAGTGACTCGGTCCTCTGCCTGGTGGTAGTGGGGGTGTTGTCAGTTGGCGAGTTATTTGCTAGTTATCAAGGTGTGCTTGGCAGGTTGACGATCTTGAAAACTTTCTCTGAGGGAAGTTAAATTTTTTGTGATTTGGTCATTTACAGTTGGTTCATCCTGATAGTTGTTTGGTCACTGAGCAACACTCACTCCATGCATATCGATAATGGTCTTGGAGTGCCAGTGCTGTCACCTTAGGTTTAGCATGCAGTTTTGTAAGGATGTCCGTGTGCTAAAATTCTATGAGACAGATGAAGAGTTGTGTGTCTCGGATAATACATCCGGGTGTTTGATAATTAAGCTGAATGTTAAGCTGAGCCCGTGATTTAACATTTAGATGGCTCTTCTACTTGAAGGTTCTACATCGTATTTGGTGCATGGAAAGATATAGTTAACAATGCTAATTAAACAAAATGCTCTTGGTGTTGGAAATTTCCAACAGTTATTCTCATCCCTAATACAATAGGATGCCTTTCCTGTATTAGGCTTCATAATCATTTAATACTTATTTACTAATCCTTAGTACAATGGGATGTATTTCCTGTACTAAGTGTCATAATTAACTAACACTACTAATCCGTAGTTTAGTATCACAGAATTCATTGCATTAGGATGTGGAACATCATGTAATTTCTCCTAGAATTGTGGCAGTGTTGCATCAGCCACCCATAGAGAATAAAATTTCACATATCTATATCTGTAGATCTAATAGAAGTCCAACCATTTACTTTCCTTTATTAAGGATAATTATTTAGTAATAGGTTTACTTTATTTAGTATACAACAGTTTACTGGAATTCCTTTACCCAGCTCGATAGCTGTTCTAGTAAATAATAATATATTCTAAAATAATTTTCACCTCCAAAAATTTTTATTTTATTTGTGCAGTCTACATTAACTGACTAGCACTACGAGGATCTCTATTATCACATAATGCAAATTTATATGACATAAATGCTGCCCGAAACGCTACGCATACTAGTGGCTGTACAAGAATGTAACAACTCTTGTATATATCTAAAAAAAAAAAAAAAAATATTCGTCATAAACACCACCTTCCCTATTTAAAATTTAATGAAAAACATTTAAGCTCGGGGCCCCCACTGGGAGCTATTGCACATGCGCGTCCCCCGGGAGGGAAGGAGGACTCTCTCCATATTGGATCTACTGGCAGCACAGTGTTCCGAAGCGGTCCTTACACATCTTACAATCTAGCAAGCATCCGTACATCATCGGGCTTCAGATTGAGGACACCGCTTACCAGAATCACGGACACCAGTTCGGCAGGCATTTTTACCCTTTTGTATTATTATTTTGAGCTCTAATAATAATATAGGTGCCATGTCGTGACGCTGCAGGCGAAAAAATAAACTCCATGTATGTGCTACTTTTACCCCTCCAATCATTTAGATATTGCATTTATGTGTGTAAATACTAGTTTGGAGTGGAAATTATGGAAGTTAATTATTGCAGCATTTGTGTAACACCACTGAGGAAGCGTGTGACTGTTATATACTCACGTGTTCCAAGGATCACTAACTCAAGCTGTTTCCAGACTGTTGTAGAGATTGGACTCCACCTATGTCCCTGCTGTGTCACAACTGAGATTTAATCAGTTTTCATTGTAGATAGTACCTTTTAATTATTAGGAGTCAAAGCATTTCTAATCATTGCATATTAATCAGCTCCCTTCACTGGGATCAGTTTGCCTGGTACATACATGGGGTTCAACCGGCTTGGCAGCACCAGTACCTGGGCTTCCCTGCAGGCCCTGGAAACCCCCCTTGTCGGCGCTCAGGTAACCATGGATATGTCTTCTAAGTCCCATCTTGCCTTGTGCGAGTTTGTGGGTTGTTAGCTGCCCTTGTCTCAGGGTGACAATCACCTGCTTTGCCTCCATCATGCTGCTTGTTGGGTCGACGATACCAGCAAGCCGAAGTCGTACGGGTCTTGTTCCCCGCTCGTTCTCCAGATTATCCATTCTTCTTCGGAAGTTTTAAGGGGTCAAGTGGCTGTCACATTGCATGGTAGGTTTAGGTTATTGCAACGCTCTAGGTTGGTCCCCTGCTTGAATGCCCCGGGACTGCCCCATTTTGGTTTTAGGGTCCCAGACTTGATAGTGTTGGTTGCTTCGGCCTTGGTCAAGTCCGCACCCTCGAGTCCTTCCCCAGTTGGTGTGGTTCGCCCTGCTCCTCTCCCCCCCTTCCCTGCTGCTGTCGCCCAAACATAAAGTCTGAGGGTTTTGGAGTCGGGGCTGGGTTTAGTTGGGAAGCTCTCCAAATGTACTCACTAGAAAGGAGACGAGAGAGATGCCAAATAATATACACATGGAAAATACTGGTGGGCCAGGGCCAAATCTACACAGTAAAATAACAATGTACTGGAGTGAACAATATGGAAGAAAATGCAAAATAGAATCAGTGAAGAGCAGGGGTGCCATAGGCATAATCAGAGAACACTGTATAAACATCAGAGGTCCACGGTTGTTCAACGTCCTCCCAGCGAGCATAAGAAATATTGCCAAAACAACCGTGGACATCTTCAAGAGAAACCTAGATTGTTTTCTAAATAAAGTGCCGGACTAACCGGGCTGTGGTGGGTATGTAGGCCTGTGGGCCGCTCCAAGCAACAGCCTGGTGGACCAAGCTCTCACAAGTCAAGCCTGGCCTTGGGCCGGGCATGACTTGTCTTTAAGCTTGGCTTGACTTTAACGAACCCAGGGCTTCCCCTGGGTTTGTTTCTGGGTGCCCTTGAGTTTTTCAGATTTGTCCTTTGAAGGTTTTCTTCCTCTCGGCTTCTACTCTCATTGGTTGCGATCCTCCGTTCCAGTGTTTTCCTGGCTGGCAGCCTGTCTCGATGGCTGGCTGGTGTCGGCTCCCTGCCAGTCGCCAGCTCTGCTTTGCTGGGTTATGGTTCATTCCCAGCATGCTGGGTTCGGGTTCCTGATAGTTTGGCAGATGTCCCAGTTGATTCTGTCCTGGGTTCAGACTTGGCTGGACCTAGTTTGGGATTCTTAGATGGTGTCCGTGTCTCTTCCTCCTGCGGCATTCTCTGGCTGCCTTCCCGCTTTGGCTGTTCTTGAGGGGAGGTCCCAGGTCACTTGGCAGTTGCTCGAGCAGCTGTGCAGGAGTTTGACCTTCGTCGTGCTGGTTTACCCGCTAGGTCAGGTTTGGCTTCGGCGTTTGTTCTAGTTCATTCGGAGCCGTCCCTTCCACTGCTCTCGCGATTGCTGGGTTCATCCCCCGGGTGCCTTGCATCGGTTGCTGCATTTTCGGCTTCCTCTTCAGTTTTTTTTAAGGTTCAGTGCCTTGGCGCCTTCCAGAACCCTCGCTCGATGTGTTCACGGACGCGTTGTCTCTTGGCTGGCGCTTTGTGACCAGTGCTCACCAAGCCGACCAGTGGCGGTGGGCTCAGTCATTCTGTCGGGCTCACAGCACGGTGCAGGTGTTTGCAGCGTTGTGGCTTTCGCTGTGACAGATTCGGCTAGCTCGAGGCTCTATGATCCGGTTCCATTCAAACTGCACCCTGGTGGTTCATTGCCTGAACCGCGGTGGGTCTCTTTGGTCCTTGGGTCTTTGGGGCTGGTAGCTTCAAGTGGCTCTTCTGCTGAGTTCTTGGGGTTTAGCTCTGTGTGGTTCGCCTCTCCGTGCGGTTCACGTCGGGAAGTGTCCAAATGTCCTGGCGGACAGCCTGTCTCTGTTCATTCCTCTGTCTACGGAATGGACGGTTGGCGCCGACTCCTTCAGTTGGCTTTGCCAGACGTTCAGGGCCCCGGAGGTGAACCTCTTCTCGTCAGTGTGGTCGCGGCATCTCCCAGTGTATGTGGCACCCTTTTCTGACTGCAAAGTGGTCAAGGCCGACGCTATTTGGCCGGACTGGTTGGGGTGGGGGTACCTGTACTTCCTTCCCCTGGTACATCTGGTGCTTTGAGTTCTGGCTTGGCTGCAGTTCTATCAGGGAAGAGTTCTCTTTCTGGCCCCATGGTAGCCAGCCCAGCCTTTGTTTCAGGCGATGCCTGCTCGATGTTTGAACCCAGGGTGTTTTCCGCGTCTCCACCTCTTCCAGCAGATCGGACCTGTATGGTACCTTGCTGGTTTGGTCTACTCTTTCACTCTTTGCATCTGGTATTTTTTATGCTTGTGTGTATTATCACTGGTCTAGTCATCAGGTGTCTGCTCTCATGGTGTCCCACATCCAGACTTCTTTGCAGCAACAGTATGAAGTCTCTTGGCATTCTTTTTGCCATTTCCTTTCTCTTTGTCGGTTGTCTTCTGTTTTTGATTGTGTTATTTTGTTCTTCCTCTCTTGGCTTTTTCAGGACCGGCATCTGATGCCGGATACTGTTGTCTCTTATCGTGCGGTGCTGGCGGAGCAGCTCCAGCTAGCATTGGGGGGTGGGTGTCACTTCTGCTCCATCTGTAAACTTTCTCAAGCGTTTTTCCACCTCAGGCCTGCTTATGCGCTGCCTGAGCCATCCTGGTCTTTGGATCGGGTGCTCTTTTCTCTCTTCTCCCTTTGTTTGTGGTGGCCCCTTCAGTTCACGCTTGCTTTCAGTGGGCTTTGTTTCTGTTGGCTTTGGCCTCTGGGGGTTGGGTTGGTGAGCTTCATGCTCTCCTCTGATGCAGGGGGTTTCTGCTCTTTTGGTTCTGGTGGTTGTTTTGTTCATATGCAGCCGTCTCCTTCTTTTCTGGCGAAGAATGAGATGGTGGGCTTCCAGAGGGGTCCGTTGGCTATTGATGCTTGGTTGGTCAGGCCGGGGGTGCATCATGTTTTGTGTCCGGGGGACGGGGTTTGGGTTGATCCGATATCCCTCGTTCCCTGTTCCTGGGCACTGGTCTGTCAGGTCGTCTGCAAGGTTATCAAGTCTAGCCCAGTCTGTGGTCTGCCCTCGTGCCCATGATGTTTAGAAGTTTACGGCTCTCACTGCTGTTTTTGGAAACGTATCTTGGGCTGACATTGGGGCACGGAGGGCTTTGGCATTTGAATGGGGTCCTGGCTGCCTGTTATCTCGTTAATGTTCTGGGCCCTGAGCGGACTTGTGTGGCCTTGGGGCGTCGGTTGCCGCCAGTTGTCCCGTTTTCGTCTTGAGGCACGCAGTGCTGCCACCTCCCAGGTAAGTCCCTCTTTTACTTATCTTTATGCTTATAGCTCCAGGTAGCTGACGGGGCTCCCCTCAGAAAACCACAGTTGAGTGTAGTGAAACGCCATTTTCTGGGTGAGGCCCAGAGGCTCCCTGGCACCCTCCCTCCCTTCGTTCGTTGCTTTTTGTTTCCGTTTGATCAGTCGCCGAACTGGTGATCTAGCGGCTGGCTCAGTGGGGCACGGACCTCCCCCTTCCCCTCCAGATGTGTGTTGAGGGGTGGGGAGGCGGCATGAATGAGCGGCATGTAGGGTTGGTCATTTGCTTGTTACCTTGTTTTTCTTAGGGGGAAGTTCTTGGGCTCTGTTCGGTCTTGGGTTACAATTTTCTACCAGTTGAGGTCTGTTTTGGGGCGCCTTCCCTTCTGGGTGCCTAACCCTGGTCGATGGCAGACAAGAATATACTCTCAGAGGAGAGTTTTCATAGGCCATTGCTCCCTTCACCTCTTTAAGGAAACCAGGTTCTGGTACGCAAGGTTAGGTTAGGCTCGTGGTTCTGGCTCTCCGTATGACTGAAGCCCAAGACTAATATAACTGATATCAGTCCGATAGCTCCAGGAAGCCGATGGGACTTGCCCAGAAAATGGCATTTCATTACATTCAGCGCTGTTTTTTTACATGATTATGAAGATTATGAACTGTTAATAAAATATTAACTCGTTAAGAATTATTCAATATTTCTTTAATATACAAATATAAGGCATGTTTTTTACAGCATTACGTGTTGGACCTGGTGAAGCCTATATATACTGCTCTAGGCTGGACAGATGCTGGAGATCATTTGCAGAAGTAAGTGTATATACAGTTCTCTTGTTGGGAATAACAGTGTTGAAAGTGTTAAGGGAACTCTTAATACATTCAACACTTCTATACCCAACAAGACAACTTTGTTGTTGGGTATAGCAGTGTTGAATATATTAAGTTCTCTTGTTGGGTATAGAAGCAATGAATGTATTAACAGTTCTCATGTTGGGTATAGAAGCAATGAATATATTAACAGTTCTCTTGTTGGGTATAGGAACAATGAATATATTAAGTTCTCTTGTTGGGTATAGGAACAATGAATGTATTAACAGTTCTCATGTTGGGTATAGGAACAATGAATGTATTAACAGTTCTCATGTTGGGTATAGGAACAATGAATGTATTAACAGTTCTCATGTTAGGTATAGGAACAATGAATGTATTAACAGTTCTCTTGTTGGGTATAGGAACAATGAATGTGTTCACAGTTCTCATATTGGGTATAGAAGCAATGAATGTGTTAACAGTTGTCTTGTTGCATGTAGGGGTGTTGAATGATTAACAGTATGAGATGAGTTGTGTACTGTGTGGTACGGCAACACTTCGTTTACTGTTGCCAGCTGCTGTTGTAATAAAATGATTTTGGTTTGGAAACAGGCTCGTGGATAAGTGGGATGGGCTGCCAGCTGGCATTACTGAAACCGGTTGTTTAACAGGTTTCTAGAATAGATTGTATAACTATGTAAGTGAGAAGGAATAAATTTAAACAGACTCAGTCTAGTATTGGCTAACAGGCCTCCCACGGTGCTCCTGAATTCTAATGTTTTTTTCGAGTAATAAAATATCATTATCATATTTATCATAGCATCATTATAGTCATTGTATATACCAACATAGATGGAGTGAGGTCAAAAACTTTGGAGTTGCAAGATATAATCCAGCTTAGGGTCCCAGATATTGTTGCATTATCAGAGACGAAACTTGAAGAAAATATAATAAATGAAGTCATATTCCCAAGAGGCTACTCAGTTTGGAGACGTGACAGGAAAACTAGGAAGGGAGGAGGAGTGGCTGTACTGGTGAAAAAACACCTGAAGGTAAGAGAGTTAATATTTGAAAACCCTCGAGATATTGACATAATGGCATTGCAGGTCTGGAATCAGGATGATAAGCTGATAATTGTAAATACCTACAGCCCACCAGCAAGCAACACATGGACAAAGGAAGAACTGGATGACAAACGAGAGGGCCTCATAATGGTCATGAGAGATATTATTGTACAAGCAGATAAAGATAAATCACGACTGTTGATACTGGGTGACTTCAACTTTAGAGCAATAGACTGGGAGGCCTATGAAGCAAGAACGGAGGACTTTTGGACATGCAGATTTGTGAACCTCATTCTGGAGACATTCTTGTATCAACACATAAAGCAAGCCACAAGAATGAGGGAAGGAGATGTACCGTCAGTACTGGATCTAGTATTCACCAGGAAAGAAGAGATTTTTGACATCCAGTACCTTCCTCCCTTGGGAAAGAGTGATCACGTCCTGTTAGACATTAAATATGCTTTAAGATATCATCTAGAAGAAAATGGGGACATTGAAACAGTTGATAAACTCGATTTAAGGAGAGGCAACTATGGGGAACTTCGAAATTTTTTTAATGAGTGTAATTGGACAGAATTGTTGCTAGGCAGGGAAGTAAATGAAATGTATGCCAAATTTTTTAAACTATACGAGGAAGGCACACAAACATTCATACCAAAACAGAGATGCAGGGCCAGAAAACAGGATTGGTTCGACAGAAATTGAGAGAGGGCAAGAGACCAAAAGACACAAAAATGGAATCAGTATAGGAAGAGGCCAAACCCCCAAACATACCAGCGATACAAAGATGCGAGAAACAACTATACAGCAGTAAGGAGAGAGGCAGAAAGAAATTTTGAAAAAGGGATAGCAGATAAATGTAAAACAGAACCGGGCCTATTCTACAAATTCATAAACAACAAATTGCAGGTAAAGGATAATATCCAGAGGTTGAAAATGGGAAACAGATTCACGGAAAATGAAAAGGAAATGTGTGAAACATTAAATGAAAAGTTCCAAAGTGTGTTTGTACAAAATGAAATCTTCAGAGAACCAGACACAATAAGAATTCCAGAGAACAACATAGAGCGGATAGAGGTGTCTAGAGATGAAGTGGAAAATATGCTAAAGGAGCTCGGGAGGAACAAAGCAGCTGGCCCAGATGGCGTTTCACCATGGGTTCTGAGAGAATGTGCATCTGAGCTCAGCATTCCACTTCACCTGATCTTTCAGGCATCCCTGTGTACAGGAATCGTAGCAGACGTGTGGAAACAGGCTAACATAGTTCCAATCTACAAAAGTGGCAGCAGGGAAGACCCCCTCAATTATAGACCTGTATCATTGACAAGTGTAATAGTGAAAGTATTGGAAAAGCTAATCAAAACTAAATGGGTAGAACACCTGGAGAGAAATGATATAATATCAGACAGACAGTATGGTTTTCGATCTGGAAGATCCTGTGTATCGAATTTACTCAGTTTCTATGATCGAGCCACAGAGATATTACAGGAAAGAGATGGTTGGGTTGACTGCATCTATCTGGACCTAAAAAAGGCTTTCGACAGAGTTCCACATAAGAGGTTGTTCTGGAAACTGGAAAATATTGGAGGGGTGACAGGTAAGCTTCTATCATGGATGAAAATTTTTCTGACTGATAGAAAAATGAGGGCAGTAATCAGAGGCAATGTATCGGAATGGAGAAATGTCACAAGTGGAGTACCACAGGGTTCAGTTCTTGCACCAGTGATGTTTATTGTGTACATAAATGATCTACCAGTTGGTATACAGAATTATATGAACATGTTTGCTGATGATGCTAAGATAATAGGAAGGATAAGAAATTTAGATGATTGTCATGCCCTTCAAGAAGACCTGGACAAAATAAGTATATGGAGCACCACCTGGCAAATGGAATTTAATGTTAATAAATGTCATGTTATGGAATGTGGAATTGGAGAACATAGACCCCATACAACCTATATATTATGTGAGAAATCTTTAAAGAATTCTGATAAAGAAAGAGATCTAGGGGTGGTTCTAGATAGAAAACTATCACCTGAGGACCACATAAAGAATATTGTGCAAGGAGCCTATGCAATGCTTTCTAACTTCAGAATTGCATTTAAATACATGGATGGCGATATACTAAAGAAATTGTTCATGACTTTTGTTAGGCCAAAGCTAGAATATGCAGCTGTTGTGTGGTGCCCATATCTTAAGAAGCACATCAACAAACTGGAAAAAGTGCAAAGACATGCTACTAAGTGGCTCCCAGAACTGAAGGGCAAGAGCTACGAGGAGAGGTTGGAAGCATTAAACATGCCAAAACTAGAAGACAGAAGAAAAAGAGGTGATATGATCACTACATACAAAATAGTAACAGGAATTGATAAAATCGACAGGGAAGATTTCCTGAGACCTGGCACTTCAAGAACAAGAGGTCATAGATTTAAACTAGCTAAACACAGATGCCGAAGAAATATAAGAAAATTCACCTTCGCAAATAGAGTGGTAGACGGTTGGAACAAGTTAAGTGAGAAGGTGGTGGAGGCCAAGACCGTCAGTAGTTTCAAAGCGTTATATGACAGAGTGCTGGGAAGACGGGACACCACGAGCGTAGCTCTCATCCTGTAACTACACTTAGGTAATTACCAGTGGTGGGGACACCCAGGCACACACATCAGTGATGGGGACACCCCAGGCACACACACCAGTGATGGGGACACCCCAGGCACACACACCAGTGATGGGGACACCCCAGGCACACACACCAGTGGTGGGGACACCCAGGCACACACACCAGTGGTGGGGACACCCCAGGCACACACACCAGTGATGGGGACACCCCAGGCACACACACCAGTGATGGGGACACCCCAGGCACACACACCAGTGGTGGGGACACCCCAGGCACACACACCAGTGATGGGGACACCCCAGGCACACACACCAGTGATGGGGACACCCCAGGCACACACACCAGTGATGGGGACACCCCAGGCACACACACCAGTGGTGGGGACACCCCAGGCACACACACCAGTGATGGAGACACCCCAGGCACACACACCAGTGGTGGGGACACCCAGGCACACACACCAGTGATGTTTATTGTGTACATAAATGATCTACCAGTTGGTATACAGAATTATATGAACATGTTTGCTGATGATGCTAAGATAATAGGAAGGATAAGAAATTTAGATGATTGTCATGCCCTTCAAGAAGACCTGGACAAAATAAGTATATGGAGCACCACTTGGCAAATGGAATTTAATGTTAATAAATGTCATGTTATGGAATGTGGAATAGGAGAACATAGACCCCACACAACCTATATATTATGTGAGAAATCTTTAAAGAATTCTGATAAAGAAAGAGATCTAGGAGTGGTTCTAGATAGAAAACTATCACCTGAGGACCACATTAAGAATATTGTGCAAGGAGCCTATGCAATGCTTTCTAACTTCAGAATTGCATTTAAATACATGGATGGCGATATACTAAAGAAGTTGTTCATGACTTTTGTTAGGCCAAAGCTAGAATATGCAGCTGTTGTGTGGTGCCCATATCTTAAGAAGCACATCAACAAACTGGAAAAGGTGCAAAGACATGCTACTAAGTGGCTCCCAGAACTGAAGGGCAAGAGCTACGAGGAGAGGTTAGAAGCATTAAATATGCCAAAACTAGAAGACAGAAGAAAAAGAGGTGATATGATCACTACGTACAAAATAGTAACAGGAATTGATAAAATCGACAGGGAAGACTTCCTGAGACCTGGAACTTCAAGAACAAGAGGCCATAGATTTAAACTAGCTAAACACAGATGCCGAAGAAATATAAGAAAATTCACCTTCGCAAATAGAGTGGTAGACGGTTGGAACAAGTTAAGTGAGAAGGTGGTGGAGGCAAAGACCGCCAGTAGTTTCAAAGCGTTATATGACAAAGAGTGCTGGGAAGACGGGACACCACGAGCGTAGCTCTCATCCTGTAACTACACTTAGGTAATTACTTAGGTAATTACCAGTGGTGGGGACACCCAGGCACACACACCAGTGGTGGGGACACCCAGGCACACACACCAGTGGTGGGGACACCCCAGGCACACACACCAGTGATGGGGACACCCCAGGCACACACACCAGTGATGGGGACACCCAGGCACACACACCAGTGATGGAGACACCCCAGGCACACACACCAGTGGTGGGGACACCCAGGCACACACATCAGTGATGGGGTCACCCCAGGCACACTCACCAGTGGTGGGGACACCCAGGCACACACACCAGTGGTGGGGTCACCCCAGGCACACACACCAGTGGTGGGGTCACCCCAGGCACACACACCAGTGATGGGGACACCCCAGGCACACTCAATGGTGATGGGGTCACCCCAGGCACACTCACCGGTGATAGGGACGCCCCAAGCACACTCACCGGTGATGGGGAACTCCCCAAGCACACTCACCGGTGATGGGGACACCCCAGGCACACGCACCAGTGATGGGGACACCCAGGCACACACACCAGTGATGGGGACACCCAGGCACACACACCAGTGATGGGGACGCCCCAAGCACACTCGCCGGTGATGGGGAACTCCCCAAGCACACTCACCAGTGATGGGGACACCCAGGCACATACACCAGTGATTTGGACACCCCAGGCACACGCACCAATGATGGGGACACCCCAGGCACACGCATCAATGATTCGGACACCCCAGGCACATGGTGGTTCATTTCCATCATATGGCCTCAATGTATTTCTCATAGATACGTCATAGGCTTGTGTTATCATTGTGCATTAAAACTATGTATAGCTTCAGTACAATTGTATTATTTCCTAACCTTTTCATGCATTTTCTCATTGACTTGCAGGTTACTACGAATTGATGTTGTGTCATTGGCGTGTGCAAGTGGGGATAAGTTGTGTCTTAAGGAAGCAGCGACAGAGCTTCAAAGATGGATTGTTGACGCTCAATACTCCCTTGCTCCAGGCACTTGTAGACAGGTGAGGACCCTCATGTTTCCCAAAATTAACAATAAATGTGCTATTAATGTTAAGAAATGTTGCAAAAACTAGTTAACTTTAGCGAGGAAAAGTGCAATGATTGCAATTTTTTTTTAATAATTTGGTGATTTGTTTCCTCTGTCTTGTATATTTTCCTTTCTTAGTTCACTACACCTGGATTTTATTAATATTGCTCTATTTAGCTTTAAATCCCCCCCAAGCCTTCTATCGATTAATAGCCGTGTGTTGTTATTGTGAGGAAGGTGTATCGGTGGGGCATTGTGGACGCTGGGACTGAGGAGAACTGGGAGGTAGTGTGGCAGCGTGCGCTGGTGGAGCAGAGTGCCACACAGCTTGATAACTTGTATTATGGTCTCGCAAATGTTCAAGATACAACCATCTTACAGAGGTAAAAGTATTTTCTTGAGAAGTACTCTCATTCAGTCTCTCCAGTACAGATACTGTGTGATTTTTCTTCTGACAGGCTTTTGTTTGTGTCCTACAAACATATATTGTCTCAGCAGTGCTGCATCTCTCTCTAATTATCCTCAGCAGTGCTGCATCTCTCTCTAATTATCCTCAGCAGTGCTGCATCTCTCTCTAATTATCCTCAGCAGTGCTGTAGCTCTCTCTAATTATCATCAGCAGTGCTGTAGCTCTCTCTAATTATCCTCAGCAGTACTGTAGCTCTCTCTAATTATCCTCAGCAGTGCTGTAGCTCTCTCTAATTATCCTCAGCAGTGCAGTAGCTCTCTCTAATTATCCTCAGCAGTGCTGTAGCTCTCTCTAATTATCCTCAGCAGTGCTGTAGCTCTCTCTAATTATCCTCAGCAGTGCAGTAGCTCTCTCTAATTATCCTCAGCAGTGCTGTAGCTCTCTCTAATCATCCTCAGCAGTGCTGTAGCTCTCTCTAATTATCCTCAGCAGTACTGTAGCTCTCTCTAATTATCCTCAGCAGTACTGTAGCTCTCTCTAATTATCCTCAGCAGTACTGTAGCTCTCTCTAATTATCCTCAGCAGTACTGTAGCTCTCTCTGATTATCCTCAGCAGTGCTGTAGCTCTCTCTAATTATCCTCAGCAGTGCTGTAGCTCTCTCTAATTATCCTCAGCAGTACTGTAGCTCTCTCTGATTATCCTCAGCAGTACTGTAGCTCTCTCTGATTATCCTCAGCAGTGCTGTAGCTCTCTCTAATTATCCTCAGCAGTGCTGTAGCTCTCTCTAATTATCCTCAGCAGTGCAGTAGCTCTCTCTAATTATCCTCAGCAGTGCTGTAGCTCTCTCTAATTATCCTCAGCAGTGCTGTAGCTCTCTCTAATTATCCTCAGCAGTACTGTAGCTCTCTCTAATTATCCTCAGCAGTGCTGTAGCGCTCTCTAATTATCCTCAGCAGTGCTGTAGCTCTCTCTAATTATCCTCAGCAGTGCTGTAGCTCTCTATAATTATCCTCAGCAGTGCTGTAGCTCTCTCTAATTATCCTCAGCAGTGCTGTAGCTCTCTCTAATTATCCTCAGCAGTGCTGTAGCGCTCTCTAATTATCCTCAGCAGTGCTGTAGCTCTCTCTAATTATCCTCAGCAGTGCTGTAGCTCTCTCTAATTATCCTCAGCAGTGCTGTAGCTCTCTCTAATTATCCTCAGCAGTACTGTAGCTCTCTCTAATTATCCTCAGCAGTGCTGTAGCGCTCTCTAATTATCCTCAGCAGTGCTGTAGCTCTCTCTAATTATCCTCAGCAGTGCTGTAGCTCTCTATAATTATCCTCAGCAGTGCTGTAGCTCTCTCTAATTATCCTCAGCAGTGCTGTAGCTCTCTCTAATTATCCTCAGCAGTGCTGTAGCGCTCTCTAATTATCCTCAGCAGTGCTGTAGCTCTCTCTAATTATCCTCAGCAGTGCTGTAGCTCTCTCTAAGTATCCTCAGCAGTACTGTAGCTCTCTCTAAGTATCCTCGGCAGTACTGTAGCTCTCTCTAAGTATCCTCGGCAGTACTGTATCTCCCTCTAAGTATCCTCAGCTATCTTCCAAAGATTGCTTCATACTAATAGGTCAGATCAGCTGTGGTTAATTCTGCTGGTCCTACCAGGGACCAGAGGCAGAACCGGCCTACTCACAGAGGCACAGAAAGCAGATAACAATTTGCCACCTCACCAAAGAAAACCTCCAGAAAGTTAGTGCAGTTTTTCAGACAGCTGAAAGGTTCACAGAAAAACGAAGCTTTGAAAAACTGGCAAACAACTACAGTATTCAGAAAGCACTTATTGTATTTGACACTTGCCATTAGTGCTTGTAAAATGCTGAGGAAGTGCACTTGCCTATAATCTCATGACATAATTAGTTTATACTGTACTAGTTCTTCCTTCAAAAAGTGTTGTTGTCATCCTAATTTTATGGTACTGTATATGTTTAGCCTATGGTAAAATACACTTAGTTTTACTGTTATATACACCATACGCTGAATGTTATTCAATTTATATATAAAAATGTAAGTTAGATTTAACTTCAGTCCAGCTATAACTGTAATGATTGGAATAAGTTGTTGCAAATAAAGTTTCTAATTCCAATGTATTTTCTCTGATTTAAAGGTACATAGAACTGGCCCAAGATATGAAGAATGTACGTAGTCAAAATTTCTTGCACGTGTTACAATATATCTCAAGCAATCCTGCTGGTACAGACTTGGTCTGGGATTGGGTTAGGTGAGTAAAACATGATTACAAGTGTAACATGGCTTTTCAAGGTAGGAAATATTGATAACATTATTAACAACACTGAGTTTGACCTTAACTGATGTTTAAATTCTTTATCTTTCCTTTTAGGTCAAATTGGAAGTGGTTGGTTGATCGTTATAGCCTCAATGACCGCTACCTTGGACAACTCATCCCCTGCATATCCAAATACTTTTCAACAGCAGAAAAGCTTTCTCAGGTAACTAAAATAAGTGTAAATTCACTGGTAATTCATTAGTCATCATCACTACCAGTACTGAGCTTGTACGTGACAGTGGTGACAGTCATCATTACTACTAGTACTGAGTGTGTATCTCCCTGAGGGCCACCAACCCTCCCTGTATCAACCCGGAGCGTGTATCTCCCTGTATCTGTACCTGAGGGCCACCAACCCTCCCTGTATCAACCCGGAGCGTGTATCTCCCTGTATCTGTACCTGAGGGCCACCAACCCTCCCTGTATCAACCTGGAGCGTGTATCTCCCTGTATCTGTACCTGAGGGCCACCAACCCTCCCTGTATCAACCCGGAGCGTGTATCTCCCTGTATCTGTACCTGAGGGCCACCAACCCTCCCTGTATCAACCCGGAGCGTGTATCTCCCTGTATCTGTACCTGAGGACCACCAACACTAGTAGCCTCGATGAGGACAGGAAACCAGCAACTTGTCAAAGGTCCCCCCCCCCCCATGTGCCCTGATCATTTCCAGCTGCATTTTAAAACCCAGCAGAGTTTTGGAGTTTACAGTTTTGGTGGGTAGGCGGTTCCATGGATTTATGACCATACGGGTGAAAAAGCATCTCCTGTTTTCTGTCCTACATTGTGGTTTGTTGAGCTTGAACCCATTGCTCCGCATTCGTGTTGCATCTGACCTTTTGAAGAAATTGTCCAGACTGGCATCCTCTAAATTGTTCAGTACAGTATTTTAAAGGTTTTGATGAGCTCTGCCCTGTCATGCCTGGTTGACAGTGTTGTTAGCCCAGTGGCCCTCGACCATTACTGATACGAGAGATGACTAAGCTCCGATATAATTTTTGTTGCCCGGTGTTGCACCTTCTCTAGAGCAGCCATCTTTCTGTAGATGAGGTCTCCATGCCTGTATGCAATAATCCAGGTGGGGCACACCAGAAACTTGTACAATTGAATGACTGCTATCTTTTCCTTGACAGTAAAGGTACGCTTAATTATTCCTAGGGTTTGGTTCACTTTTTTTTTACTACTGCTCCCACTTGTTATGCAACTTTTAGTGAATGATGAACTCTGACTCCAAGGTCTTTTTCTTCATCTATCTGTTGTAAAGTAATGATGTCAATTTGGAAATTGTGACGTGGATTGTTGTGCAAGATGTAAGGTCTTGCATTTATCAATATTAACACTTTTGTTGCCCATGCGGGCGACCCGCCGTGCACTTCAAGGTAACCCGAGCAGTGCACGTGAACTCGCCACCACCCACAAATGTTTATTCTCTTTCTGGGGGGAGCTCCATCGGCTACCTGGAGCTATCCAGGCTGATATGGATATATTAGACTTTGGCATCAATCAATGTGCATGGAGTTCTAGGCCTACCGGGGACCACGAGCCAGAACCTGGCCCCCCTCAGAGAGGCATGAGGAGCAATGGCCTATAGAAACCCCCGTGTAGTTGGAAGCATTCTTTGTTTGCTATCGACCAGGTGAGGCTCCCAGAAAGGTAAACACCCCAAAACAAACCCCTATTCTGGTGAAAATATTGCTACTGAAAGCCGAACTAGTGGACAGAACTCCCCAAATGAAAACAAGCATGACGTCACCACATTGCTGCTCCGCTGTCTGCACAACCCCCCCCCCCTCCCCCCTGGGAGGAGGGGGGAGCCCCAGACCCTCATGCCAGCTATCCACCCTGTAGTTCTGAGGCTGGATATCAAAACATGCAAAAAAGATGCCGACTGGAGGGAGGGAGGGAGGGTTGCCAAAGAGCCTCCGTGTCTCACCCAGAAAATAGTATTTCATTACATTCAAAGCTGGTTTTCTGGGAAGGGAGCCCCATCAGCTCCCCAGGGCTACTTACCCAAGATAACACAAGAGGGACAAACCTGTGAGGCAATCGCCAACACAGCAAGCATACGTCACGGGCATGAGGATAAACCGCAGTCGGGCCGGACGGAAGGACCCAGCGGACAACCTGAGAGACCCAAATCTTTCGAACAGAATAAAAGGGAAACCAGTCAACCCAAAGTACATCCCCAGCCACCAAGGCCATGGCGCGTCGAAAATGGCTTTCCCTGGATAGCTCCGGGGAGGTTATCTTGAGGTTATCTTGAGATGATTTCGGTGCTTTTTAGTGTCCCCGCGGCCCAGTCCTCGACCATGCCTCCACCCCCAGGAAGCAGCCCATGACAGCTGACTAACACCCAGGTACCTATTTTACTGCTAGGTAACAGGGGCATAGGGTGAAAGAAACTCTGCCCATTGTTTCTCATTGGAGCCTGGGATTGAACCCAGGACCACAGGATCACAAGTCCAGCGTGCTGTCCGCTCGGCCGACCGGCTCCCCTAGGGAGACCTGGGAGCCTCCAGGTCTCGCCCAGAAAATGGCGTTTCATTACATTCAATGCTGGTTTTTAGCTTTGACAATTTTTGTGCTATGTCATTCAATTTGGTGTCAAATTGCTTGCAATAGAATGCTCTAAAGGATTATGTGCATATAAGAACACACAAGTCTCATTTTTCTATACTTCAGACCTGCTGTGCACTGCAAGGTAGCCCGAGTGTTGCCTGAGAGCTCACCATTCCAATGTTTATTCTCTTTTCAGCTTTCTCACCTCAGTTTTCATGCTATGTTGTTCAATTTGGTATCAAATTTGGTTTGTGATAGAATGCTGTAAAGGGATATTTGCATATAGAACATATGTCTCACTTTTCTATACTTTGGACGAAACCTCAATAACTTTTCCCTATACATGTTTCTTTCAATGCTTTCGTCATGGATTGGCTCTGTTCTTGATTAGTATCCATCTGGAAGTCAATTTGCAGTGTTTATAAAGCCAGTAACAGTAAATATCTGAGATAAAATAACCAGAATGGGGAAACTCTTTGAGTCGAGGAAAGGCCATGGCTGTCACGAGCGAGGTCACGAGAACAGTGAGCCTCCAGCATGGGTGAGCGCCCACACGGTGAGGTCAGGATGCCATGTGGGATATACAGAGAGTGGGCAGACATTGGTGCACATTTTAGTACATGTCCTATAGTATTCGGACAATAAATGGAATTTTTACAAATGTTTAAATTATTGATGCCATTTACGTCATCCCACATACTCCATATTTTTGTTTTATGACGGAATGTGCAGCATTAGGCAGCGAAAGTGTTAAAAACCATTTGCTAGTCATCTGACCATTCGTGGAGTTCATACAGATCTCTTTGTAAGGTCTCGATATCACCTTCACTTCGTACTAGTGTCATCTGCAAATTTGATGATGTGGTTTGTAATATTCTCATCTATATCATTGATGTATATGGCAAAAAGGTTTGGCCCCAAAATGGACCTCTGTGGCACCCACTTAGCACATTTCCCCAGTCAAATTCATTCCCATTTAGCACAACCCTTTGTTTTCTATGTTTTAACCATTGTTTTATCCATTCCAGTATTCTCCCCCTTTATTCCATGTGCCTGTAATTTCCTTGCCAGTCTCTCATGTGGTACCTTGTCAAAAGCTTTAGCAAAGTCCATGTAAGGTACGTCTATTGGAAGTCCTTTGTCTGGATAGCTGGTTACCGTTTCCAGAAATGCGAGCAGGTTAATAAGGCAGGATCTATTTTTAGCAAACTCATGTTGCGTTGTGTTTACATGATTGTTTTCTGAGAGATGTTGTATGATTCCTTCCCTTAGGATTCTCTCCATGAGCTTGCAGTTGTGTGATGTCAAGCTGATCAGATGGTAGTTTTCTGCCGAGCTCTTTCTGCCTTTTTTGAAAATAAGGGTAACAATTGCATATCATTTGCAACATTTGCATTTCCAATCCAGGGAAACTATCCCTTGGTCCAGGGATTTTTGGAAAAGGAGTTTCAGTGGTTTGCATAGTGCATTTGCCAGTACCTTTATGACTTTGGATTGAAATCCTTCCACACCTGGGGCCTCTGAGTCTTTTAATTTGTCAATGCTCTTCCTGATTGTGTCGCATGTAATGGGTATATCCCTTAATTCATTATCTTCACCTCCTTCTAACATTTGTGTGGATGATGGGATGTCATTCAAGCTTTCTTGTGTGAACACTGATGTAAAGTGTTCATTCAGTGTGTTTGCTGCCTTTTATCACCCAATATAACTTGGTTAGTCTCGTCTTTTAGGGGTGCTACAGAGTCATTTTTTTTAGGTTTTACTTCATATATATATATATATATATATATATATATATATATATATATATATATATATATATATATATATATATATATATATATATATATATATATATATATATATATATATATATATATATATATATATATATATATATATATATATATATATATATATATATATATATATATATATATATATATATATATATATATATATATATATATATATATATATATATATATATATATATATATATATATATATATATATATATATATGTCGTACCTAGTAGCCAGAACTCACTTATCAGCCTACTATTCAAGGCCCGATTTGCCTAATAAGCAAAGTTTTACTGAAATAATATATTTACTATAATTTTTTTCTTATGAAATGATAAAGCAACCCTTTTCTCTATGTATGAGGTCAATTTTTTTTATTGGAGTTAAAATTAACGTAGATATATGACCGAACCTAACCAACCCTACCTAACCTAACCTAACCTATATTTATAGGTAAGGTTAGGTTAGGTAGCCAAAAAAAGCTAGGTTAGGTTAGGTTAGGTAGGTTAGGTAGACGAAAAAACACATTAATTCATGAAAACTTGGCTTATTAGGCAAATCGGGCCTTGAATAGTAGGCTGAGAAGTGAGTTCTGGCTATTAGGTACGACATATATATATATATATATATATATATATATATATATATATATATATATATATATATATATATATATATATATATATATATTATATTATATATATATATTATATATATATATATATATATTATATTATATATATATATATATATATATATATATATATATATATATATATATATTGTGACGGTAACGCGTTG